GCCTCCGGTGCGCCCCGGCCAGCCAGTCTCGGCCGAGGTGGCCCCCGAAGGCCGTCGCCCGTCGTCGTCGTCGTCGTCGTCGTCGTCGTCGTCGTCGTCGTCGGCATCGTCGTCGTCGGCATCGTCGTCCTGGTCGTCCTCGTCCTCGTCGTCGTCGTCGTCGTCGTCGTCAAAATCGTTGCCAAAGCCGTCGTCGTTGCCGTAGCCGTCGCCCTCTTCTGCCTCCTCGTCCTCGTCCCCGTCCTCGAAGTCGAAGCCGTCATCGTCGTCGTCGTCGTCGTCGTCGTCGTCGTCGTCGTCGTCGTCGACACTGTCGTCGTCGCCACAACCGTCGTCCTCGAAGTCGAAGTAGAGGACATCGTCCTCGTTGTCGTCGTCGTCGAGATCAGCGAAAGCGTCGTCGTCGAAATCGCTGGGCGCGCGCCTCGCACTTCCGGCTGGCCCAGTCCCTGCACACCGGCTCCTGCTGCGCGCCCGCTGCGCGCCCTCCGCCCCCCCCCCCCGCGGCGGAGCACAGGGCGCCGCCGGCTCCGCGCCGCACCCGTCCGCTCCAGTCGCTGGATTCTCGTCGTCGTCGTCGTCGTTGCCGCCGCCGTATCCGTCTCTGTCGTCGTCGTCGTCGTCGTCGTCGGCGCCGCCGTATCCATCTCTGTCGTCGTCGTCGTCGTCGCTGTAGCTGTCACCGTCGCCGTCGCCCTCTTCCTCCTCCTCCTCCTTCTTCTCCTTCTTCCTCCTCGTCCATCTGTCTCTCCGCTTGTCTCTCCTTCTGGTCTCCTCCTCCTCCTCCTCCTTCGTATCCTCTCGGTCCAGATCAAAGTGCGCTCATCCATCATGGCCACTACTTCACCCTAGATGGATTTCTGACGAAGCTGGGGCCCGACATGAACTCCCGGATGCTGCAGATGGTGAGACACCTCGACGAAAAACCCTCCTGCGTCTCCTTCTCGCAGCAGCCCGTTGCTCTCGCTGGAGGAGGAGGAAGGAGTAAAGGGTGGTGAAAAGATGATTGTGATCATGGTGATGTTGATGATGAATAAGATGAGCATGACGATCATGATGATGAGGAGGAGGAAGAGGAGGGGCAGAAGGAGGAGGAGGAGGAGGAGGAGGACGAGGAGAAGAAGCAGGATCAGAAGCAGGACCAGGAGGAGGAGGAAGAGGAGGAAGAGGAGGAAGAGGAGGATCAGTGGAAACCCAAGAGTCATCAACGATGTTGGAATTAACCCTCCCTCCAAGCTCCCTCTGCACAGGCCCCCACAACGGTTCATTTCCATTGAGGGAACAGCCTCGTTGGAAGACAACAGTTTGGAGATCCTGAAGCGTGCGAAAACACGGTTCTCGGGATTTCAACGCCACGTATCAAACTGACTGCCGCATCTTGACGATCCAGAATCGTGCCAGAACGCCATTTTTGGGACTTCAACACAACGAATCAACAGAACTGTTGGGCCCGCATAATCCTGAATCCTTCGAAAACAACATTTCTGCTACGCTGGTCATGGGAGTCCGTGAAACTCTTGCATTTTTCAAACCAGACCAAATCTACGCGGCGCTAAGGCGAGAGCCACATTTTGAAAACGACCCGCTCTCAATCCCTGAAGCTCTGGTAAATTTCATAAACGAATGTGCGCGGCGTTACGGCGTGAACCACATTTTGAAAACGAACCGTCCTCAATCCGTGAAGCTCTTGCAATTTTTTAAACGAATGTGCGGGGCGCTGAGGCGAGAGCCAAATTTTGAAAACCACCCGCCCTCCATCTGTGAAGCTCCTGTAAATTTTGAAAGCGAATGTGCGCGGCGCTGAGGCGAGAGCCACATTTTGAAAACCACCCGCCCTCAATCCGTGAAGCTCTTGGGACTTTGTACAACGAATGTGCGCGGCGCTAAAGCGAGAACCACATTTTGAAAACCACCCGCCCTCAATCCGTGAAGCTTTTGCGAATGTTTAAAACGAATGCGCGCGGCGCTAATGCGAGAGCCACATTTCGAAAACCACCCGCCCTCCATCTGTGAAACTGGTATCACGTTTAAGCTTTCGAATCATACATGTTGGGGAAGTCTCAGGCGAACCGCCCGGCCCGCCGTAAAAACTAGCGTCGGGGTGCGACAGGGACGAGTTATCTATAAGGAGAAGGAATGGAGGAGGAGAAGCAGGAGGAGCAGGATGATGATGATGATGATGATGATGATGATGATGATGATGATGAGGAGGAGGAGGGGAGGAGGAGAGGAGGGAGGAGGAGGAGGAAAGGAGAGCAGAGGAGAAGGGGAAGAGGAGGGAAGAGGTAGGAGGAGGATGAGCAGGAGGAGGAGGAGGCGGTAGGAGGAGGAGGAGGAGGAGGAGGAGGAGGGGGAGGAGGGAGGAGGAGGAGGAGGGAGGAGTGAGGAGAGAAGGAGGAGGATGGGCGGGGGGGACGAGGACGGAGAGGAGGAGGAGGAGGAGGAGGAGGAGAGGAGGAGGAGGAGGAGGAGGAGGAGGAGGCGGAGGAGAGGAGGAGGA